GCGAGAATATTTTCGAACGAAATTTGTTTTTTCCACATTTCGGTTCTAAAAGTTATAAATAATTTGTCGGCACTGCAATCACTCGCGTCTAAATTATTAATTAATAATTATTAATTAATAATTAATAAATTAATTTTAATAATTCCGTCCGAACATTCAAAGTTTGAGGGTCGACATACCGAACGAGAAATGTCATCCATTTATCATTTGTAATATCGGAAGTTTCATCGATAAATATTGAAAATTTGTTATTTTGTAAAGTATTTATTAATCGTTCCTGTTCGCGAGTACATAAGACATTATTTATTATTCGCGGCGCTTTTTTTTCGATTATCATCATACTTTGCAAAACATCGGGATCTTTCCCGATATCTTGAAACAAAGCTAAAATTGCCTCTGCCGATTGAAACGGAATGTTCTTTTCGGCAATTAATGCTGCAAATTTAATTTCCGCGATTTTTTTACAATCTTTAACCTTTAGAGGGCCGGTATTTGAGAGGGCATATCCGCCTTAGTAAAGTGGTAAAAAAGGTATCTTATATCATGGATTGACCATACACTAAGTATCGATCATGGGTAGCGCCAATATATTGGCTTTCCGGTCCGGAAGGGATCAGCCCGTATATAAAATTTCAAATTCGAAAAAAATACTTCTTTCACATCAATTTGTAAGTGTAAATATGCGTTTCCGATGTATTTTTCGACGAAGAATCCAAATCTGATGTCAAAAATACAATAAACTTGAAAACAACACCTATAAAATTACAAAAACTACCCCTTTTATCACGCAATTTTAATTTTTTTTATTTGAAAGTGCAGATATATGTTTCCGATGTATTTTTCGACGAAGAATCCAAATCTGATGTCAAAAATACAATAAACTTGAAAACAACACCTATAAAATTACAAAAACTCCCCCTTTCATCACGTATGATTTCGAAACACCCTCTTCTTTTGAACACGGGCTTGGGACCGGCTGTGGCAGAATTGTTTCTTTTTTTTTATTTTTTTATTTTTTTATTTTTGATTGTTTTTTTTATTTTTTTGTTTTTTCATTTTTTTTATTTTTTTGTTTTTTCATTTTTTTATTTTTTTTTGTTTTTTTTTTCTGATTTTTTTTTAATTCTTTTATTGTTTTTTTTTTTATTTTATAAATTACGACAATGATCGTTTGGTGTGATAAATTTCAAAGCAAGGTTCAATGCATAAAGTTTTACAACATACTTTACACTCATATGATGATCGACTTCTCTTTTTGTGTATACTGCATAGAACACATTGACGTGATACCGTTTTACTATCATCTGAAGCTTGAATTTTTCTGGGGAAATGTCGTCCATTTAGTCTAAGATTAG